TGTAATTGAAGCTGAAAAACTAGCACAAGTAGCTAAAATTCAATATGAACAAAAAATTTTAGGAAAAGCAAGTGAAAAACGTATTGCTGAAATAGAAGCTGAAATGCATTTAGCTAGAGAACGTTCATTAGCTGATGCAAATAAATATAAAAGTGATACAGAAGCTGAATCAAATAAAAGGAAATTAACACCTGAATTTCTTCAATTGTCAATGTATCAAGCTTTGGCACAAAATACAAAAGTGTATTTTGGAGATTCAATTCCAAATATATTTACCAATAACCAAGAAACACTTAATATTAAAAAAAAATCTGAAGGAGATGTCAAAAAACAAGTGGCACCTTAAATATTCATTGATCAACTGATATGACTTTTGATAATCTGTGATATTATGTTGTTTGGCTTCTTTTTTTGTTTCGTAGCGCATCTATTCATTTTTTTTTAACTATCAGCATTGTTCACTTTTGTCAAGTAATAATAAAAATTAAACTGTCTATTTATGTTTTTCATTGCTGAAAGAATATGCTTTTAAAAAAAAATCTATGAAGATCTCTTCATTTTTATTCTAGATGTAACTTTAATTACTCAGGGATCAAATCTATTATAGGTAAGTTTAACAAATTGTTAAATTAGACTAAAACACTATTTTTATGCTCTATCAAAACTAAGTCATATTGATGATTGATAATAGAATATTTATTTTAACGATCAACTTTTGTAAAAAAAAAAAGAAGGCATATAATAATAAACTTTTATTTCATTTCTTTGGTATGCATATATCAATATGCAATCAATGATCACTAGTGCGCATCAGCATCGATCTGTTATCGTCTCATATTTCTTCTTCTTCTTTTTTTTTTCTGCTCTGTTCGAAAGTTTTGACCATTACATTTTTTCTTCTTGCTAATGATGTAAGAAATATTGATCACGTAATCAGAATATATACGTGTATTTATTAAACTTTCAATCATAATAATAATAAAAAAAAAAGAATATGGAACGAAAACGTTTACAATATCAACGTCTTAAACAACAACAACAACAACAACAACGTTTTTGTGTTAGTCAACAAGATTTAACGGAAGCTATAGGTCGTATGAAACCAATAACGAATAATTTTCAAGAACGACGACATGCAACACATGAAGATTTAACAAATTGTTCATCATCATCATTTCCTATTGAAATATTAGATAATCGATCAGTTTCACAATTAATTAAAGCATTTGAAGCACAAACAAATATAACTCCTTATGCAAGTGCTCAAAATTTGTTACCAATTAATAATAATGTTATTTCTAACGGAGCAGAATTTAATCGTAGCCACATGCTCGGACGAACAATGAAAATCAAGGTCAATTGCAATGACAACAACATCATCAACAATAACGTCTGTTCGTCAATTTCTCCTTCGATCAGTAATGATAATCAAATGATCACAGTAGAAATACATCCACAGCAATTCACCCAAGATAAAGAACAAGAAAAAAACGAGGAACAAATCTATGAAACATTGGATATAGATCATTATAAACAAGATTTACTACCACCACCATCATCATCATTCAACATTACTGTAAACGAGAATAATTATCAGCCTATACAAATGTTAACACGATGTACTAATATTGATGAAGCTGCATTAATTCTAGGAAAACGACATGAAATTCATTTTGATGAATTACTTGCCAAAGAAGCACAACTTAATCATGCACTTGCTGATTTATTATCAATAACAAATGATACTGAGAAATCTTTGTCAATAAATTCATCACCAAGATCTCTACCTAATAATCAAGAACTTCGACGATTATCAAATGGCAAAAATAATAATAATCTATCTGCTAGTATTGATTTATTAAATGATTTACTTGAAAAATTTGATTTGGACAATGAAGATTCTGATAAGAAAAAACAAAAAAAGAATAATACTACAGATCAACCTAGTCAAAAAAATGATGATAGTCATGTTAAACCGATTAATATGTTTTGGTAGTTATAGATAGAAAAATAAGAGAATGAAGAATTTATTTTTTTCATATGATATTATTTTTTATTTTTATTTGTAGTCTCATGTTGTCAGATAACGTATGTGCTAATTGTCATCAATCATTTGCTACCAATGAACAAATTGTCAATGCTGCTGGTCATATTTGGCACACACATTGTTTTGTGTATGTTTCACAATTTTAAACATATAAAAAGTTAATCTAAGTGTTTGGTTTTTTGATCGAGATTTTCTATGTTAAGTCTGACTTTAGTAGTAAGTTAAGACAAATGAGAAAATATTTTTCGTCTACTAAAAATTTCTGATTGTTTACTGAAGTCGAATATAACCATTCTTTATCTAATTGCACAGAATTGTTTATATATAAATACCAAAAGAATATATTGAATGTTGATGAGGAAACTACCCCAAACTCTAAACTGTTGTTTGAGTGCATATTAGGTCTGTAAGGAGATCTCAGTAAAATTAGAAAACGACAAGAACAGCTCGTTCTCATTAGCCTTTAGAGCCAAGTTATGGCAATTGTGCACTGAATATTCGATCCATTTTCAGGTATTTACTGAAAAATCGAATAATGGAATTTCGACTTGAAATTTTGTCCATAGATGGATCTAATGATCTTTTGAATATCTTACACGTTTCGGTCGAAAAAAAAAATGTTCCTTTGTCGAGATATTCAATTTCCAAAAACAATTAATCGTTTGCCACAAGCATGTCACAAAAGATCAAGTTTACTTGGAAATTCAATATCTCCCCAAAGGAAAACTCTATGCAACTGAAGCTTTCAGGACATCCTAAGGATCATTAGTCTTATCTGTAGACTAAATTTCAGGGTTACACTGACGGCAGTTGTCTCGTAAATTGCTTTAAGAATATTTTTTTCAAGTCTAACGAATTCATTGATGTTTATTTGTTTCTCTAGTTGTACACAATGTTTTCAACCATTTGAAAATGGTATATATTTTGAAGTAAGTTATTCAATACTCGGTTTTTACTTTTTTTTCAACTAATTTTTTCTCTATAGCATGAAGATCGAAAATATTGTGAACGAGATTTTCAAATGTTATTTGCACCATGTTGTGCCGAATGTAGTAAGTATTATTTTTTGAATATTTTCTTCATAATTAAATTTAATATAATTTAGAACAAGCTATTGTTGGTCGAGTTATTCGAGCACTTCAGAAATGTTTTCATCCGGATTGTTTTCGTTGTCAATTATGTCAAGCACCATTAATTGAAATGGGTTTTTCGAAATATAACGGAAAGTTCGTATTTAAGAATAAGAGATTTTCTTTTTGTTTTAATTTTAAAACACAAAAATTAAAATTTTCTAGAGCTCTTTGTCGAGAATGTCATGTAAAAGAAAAAGCAAATGATTTAAAATTATCAAAACAAATTTGTTCAACATGCCAGTAAGGATAAAAAAAACAAAGGTTTTATTATTATTATTATTATTATTAACATATTATTTGTTTTAGTCAAATTATTGATAATAAATATTTGAAATATAAAGGTGAATTTCATCATTCATATCATTTTCAATGTACATCATGCCGGTTAGTTAAAAAAAATTTTATTGAAGCAAAAAACAAAATAATTTTGTTATTTTATAGAGTTGAATTAGATGAGAATTGTCGAGAAGTACGAGGTTCATTATATTGTCTTCCATGTCATAATAAACTTGATATACCTGTATGTGCTGCATGTCGACGTTTAATCGATGATCGAGTTATTAGTGCTCTTGGAAAACAATGGCATGTTGAGGTTTGTTTTTGTTTTATTTATTTATTTAAAATAGTAGTGAATAAAATTTAACTACTCATTGATTATGACAACAAATGGGCATTAACATTTTTTTTTTACTAATCATAGAACTCAATGAGTTGTTATATAATGTGTCAGTTAGATTTCTATTGAATATAATCGGAATCAATGAAAATACAGTCAATCTTTTCCTCAAGACAAGCATATGACAGTCATATACGATGTCGTGTGCTATCATATCCTCATATTCTTCTCATTCAAGAAGAAGGAACTTCTTCCTTGCCTTAAATACGACTTTTTATTTTTACATTACTTACTATTTCATCTGTTGTTCGAATCGATCTAAATTTTAAACAAAAATGATTTTTTTAAAAGAAATACTAATCATTATATTTCTTGCTGAATTCAAAACGAAAAATTTATATGCTCAATAAGTGTAACTCCACTTACGACCAAAGACGATCGTGTACGACAATCATTTACGTTTATCGCGTACGTTATTCGTTTTTGAACGTAATATGTAGTATACAATCGTGCTTTTTTGACCTAGATTGTTTACTTCAGTGAAGTTTTCATTCGAGAGTTTAATGTTTAAATTTTTTCTATTAAAAAGATTGTTGTCAAATTCCTATGTTGATTATTAAATTAATCAGACATAAAGTTTCTTTTGAAAAGTCTCAATTGAATTATAGCTCATCGAATTTGAGCTTCTGTTTTTGAATGATTTTTAATTGAAGAATATATTTTTTTGTTTATTTGTAGCATTTTTGTTGTGCTCGTTGTGCTCAACCATTTTATGGTAGTAAACATTTTGAAAATAAAGGTTTAGCTTATTGTGAATTGGATTATCATTTTCTTTTTGGTTCAACATGTTTTATATGCAATTGTATTATTACTGAAGGCGGTAAAGTTCATTAAAAATAATATTTATTTATTTATCTAAAATTCTATTCTTTTTTTGTTTTTGTTTTAGCTTATACAGCATGTAATAAAAAATATTGTGCTGATCATTTTGCTTGTTCATTATGTGAGAAAAAAATGGATGAAAAAAGTAAATTTTTTGATGTTGATGCAGCACCTGTTTGTAAACAATGTTATGGTAAATTACCAGCTGATATTCGAAAATCACTTCAACAACAACCAAAAAAGAAACAATTATCATCAATATTAAAACAAACTAGTCTTTAATAAAAAAAAAAACAAAAAAACTCAAATATTATTTTGTACATTAAAGTTTTGTATTAACAAGATATAAATGACCATAAACAAGCAAATACATTGACATATCAATTTCATCACAAAATAAACCAAGATTAATTGAAAATGTTGTTAATGACCATTCAGTTTCAAATTGATTATGTCGTCCAAGTAAATAAAGACGTGAACGTCGACGTAATAATGAAAAACATTTATTTAATTTAAGTGTATATATACGATAATGTTGAAAACGTTTTGAATGTATTGGTTTTGTTTTTATTATTAATTGTTTAACATGTCGACATATATAAAGTAAAAAATCACTATCATCTAATAAATTCCATTCATTTGCATTATCAATATCAATTTTAAGAATATCAATAAGTACTGATATTGAATCAAGATGTATATATTCAGTTAATTTTCTTATTGTCATTAAATTTGAATTATCATCAACAGCAGCTGATGCTGTTAAACCTAATCTATAAAATGTCCAATTTGATTTAATATTTATCATTATATCACTTGTATTTGTTTGTATAGATTGTTGATAAGGATCAAATGTAAATAAACGACAACCAGCCCAATCATATAATTGATTATCAAATGTATCACTAAGTCGATTATTACCCATTGAAATAGACATAATTAAACAAGAATTACGTGTCAATAGATCTAGACAAAATATATGATCACTATTTTCAAATTGTTTTATATTAGTACATTTAAATGGTTCAAGATCTTGTGGTCGAATAAATTTACTTTGAGCTTGACACCATTTTCGACTTGCTTCAGTTCGTCGTTCATCATTATGTGTAAATTGAATTCGTGAATAAACAAATGGATCAAGATAATTTGATGGTGTTGATAATGTTAATTGAGTTAAATTTAATTTTGTAATAAGTATTTTTTGTAAATATAATGGAGATAAAGAAATAGAATCACTTTTCGATGAAAGAAATGAAAGTGAACGATTTTGATAAGAAGAATTTCGTGCAATGATTATTAATGAAATAAATATAATTAAAAATCCAATCGATTTTAGTAGAAAATAACGTCTCCATTGTAAACGTCGAACGAAAAATAATTGTATAAAATTATCTGATAATAATCGTACAGTCGACATAAGAATAAGAGCGTAAAACAATAACAATAAAACCTTGCATTTTCTCCTTAGTTATTTGTATACATATGTAAAGACCAGATGTTTTTTCTATCTGTTGGATAAATGGAATAAAGAGCAAGAAAATTACTTGCTCTTTTTTTTTTATTCTGTATATATATATATATATATAATATACCATTTGTTTGTCATGCTCATGCATGACTGCTGTGATGTTTTTCGACTAAGTGATTTAAAAATTAATTATAGAAAACAATAGAGTAGTCAGCTGTTTGATTACTTGATTAACAATATTGAATATTACTAATTAAAATAGCAATCATAGTAATAAGATTAATAATCAAAGGACTTGTACAAATAATTATAATCTTATCTGATCATCATATAGTCGAATGATTATTCAAACTAAACAAATTATCAATAACGTATTTTTTCAGATATATGTATATATTTAACCATTCTTTTATGTTTTGTTTTTAGAATATTAAATAGAAAAACCTTATTAATATTATTCAAATCAGATGTAGTTTTTCTTTTTTTTTTATAGTTCACATTTAAAATTGTTAATATAAAATTTTAGTGTTCGAAAATGATTTTTCTTTACCATCGTTACAACGTTTTGATGCTGATTGTTTACACACATCTTGTTGTGGTTGTCGACTAAATGGTATTAGCATGATCGTATGAATACAGTAAAACAAAAAAAGAAAATTGACAACTTTCTCATGTGCACTTTCAATCTATCGATAAATAAAATATAAACTAGGATATGTCTATAAATGGCCATATTACTGTACAAGATCCGTTGAAAAAAGTAAAAATGAAAAAAAAGAAAAGATTTTCTTTTTAAATATGACTGTTGTGGTTGGTTTTTTTATTTTTTTAGCGACATATCCTTCTTCCACGAGGTCAAGTTGAAGAACGTTTTATCGTAGTTAGTTATGATTGGTTTGTACCAGTACAATTACTACGACGTTTACATTCTACTAGTACAGAAAATGAACTTGAAAGTATAGTTTTTCCTTATGATGAATCATTTGAATCACATTGGCAATTATATCTTGAACATCAATCACATCCACCACGTATTCGAATTGGTCTTGCTTTATTAGCACCACGTGATCGATGTCTTCGTGCTGATATTAAATTCATAATAATAACTACACATGGTGGACAAGTTATAAAAGAAGCACTTTTTTATGATCATACATTTTTTTTAGCTAAAGGCGAATCTATATCATCATATATTAATGATCATATATCACCAAAAATTTTTCTTGATATTGAAGGTGATCTTTATGAAGATGTTATTTCAAAAACGAAACAAGGAACTCCATTTAATACAGATGATTGTACAATTGTTGCTTATGTTCGATTTATAAATGAACTTGAAATTCAACCAAAAACAAAAGCATTTGATTTTTCAAGACGTTTTACAGTTGATTGGAAATTAACAAAATTTCTTCATATTATCGAACAAATTAATCAAACAAGACCACCAGGTAATTATTAAGATTAAAAAAAAAGAATTTCCATTCTTGTTAAAATCTTTTCTAAAAGTTAAAGTAGTAGAAAAAAGTTTAATAACAACGTTTTTTTTTTCTATAATTTTAAACAGCCAGCTCAAGCTCAGATAGTGATTTTAATAGTCAATGGAATTTTTTATCTAATGCATTCTATACTAAGATTTTATACATGAACTATGATAGCAAGGTTTCTAAAGAATCTGACATAGTAGTTTTCAGATGTCGGAGCTATTTTTTAACAATGCCATTTTAAAAAGAACAAAATGAGGAGTCGCCACATTTTCTATGATAGATTCGAAAATTGACAAAAAACGAAAATTTATCAAGAAACGCCTATTTTCTGTTTTACTTTTTAAGGAAAGGTCATAGCGAATGCGCCGACTGTTCATGTTGTTCTCTTTAAAATGGCATTGTTAAAAAATAGGTTCGACAAACAGAGATGGAACCGATAGACTGGTCACTACCAATGTGTCTTATTTTTTTTTTGCTCCTATTATCTCATGGAAAATGTCTAATGCAATTTTGTTGAAAGTTGACGACATCAAACATGTTATAGTATGATAACTCGTTAGTTTAATGTCGTTAAAGTCTCAAGACGAACCAGTGGATCGGTCAGTTCGGTTCTCCTGAGTCTACTCAGACTAGTTTCATCTCTGTCGACAGCCTTCAAAGACCTGAAAATTATCCTGTTTGGTTTTTTCGATACTTTTCCCATCATGGCTCATCAATGAAATCTTGCTATAGAATGTATAAGATAGAAAACTCTATTCGCTATTAAAAACCGATACCTAGATATGACCTAGATACTTAACATTATAAAAATAAGTTGTTAAACTTGTTTTTTCTATCACCTTATGTATTATAAATTTTCTTATCAATTTCTTCTATTTTAGTTGGTAATGATCGACGTTTAGTATCTGATCGTTTTCAATTTACTCATGTTAAAATAATTGAAGGTGTAAAAAGTAAAAAATGGCGATTATTAATTAAATGTCCAGGTACACCATCGACAAATAAACAAACTCCACTCTATTTAACAATAAAATGTTCGGATTTTATTCATGCAAATTATGGTAAAGTTGAAATAATATGTAAAAATGAACATAATATTCTTCGACGTTATACACAATCATTTGAAGATCTTTCTGATAATTATACAATGGAATTTTTTAGTCTTGATGAATTAGCTACAAATATTTACAATTATCGACATGATTTTAATGAAACTAATGGACGATATTTTACAATTGATTATCTTCTATTTTCAATTCAAATAGTACAACCATTACAACGTTCGAGTGTACCTAAAAATATAAAACGTATTGTAGAACCAACAATGATTTCATTAAATAATAGTGGAAATATTCAAAATAAAGGAACAACAACACAGGGAATAAAATCATTTCGAGAACGAGATACATCATCTGTCATGAAAACTGAACCTAAACGTATATCATCTGTACTTAAAATAAATGATAAAATAAAAAGTCCAGAACAACATGGTGTTACACGTGAAAATACAACAGCAACTACAGGTGAAAATCAAATATCATCATGGAATGATCCATTTTCAGATGAACCGAGAGTAATTAAGTTACTTTAAAAAAGAAAAATTTTTTTTTTTTTCATTCTAAACCTTTTTCATTTTAATATATGATAGAAAAATCATATGTTTCCACCAATTGTTTCTCGTAATCAACAAAATCGTGTTTCACCTGATCAAATAAATCATTCACCAAATCGTTTTCAATCATCAAATGAATTAAAAACATTTCCAAATATTCAAGAAAATTTATTTTGTTCACCACGTGTATTTCAAAATAAACAAATTCGTTTTACATCACAATCACGTCTTCATTCATTAGATAGATTTAATTATAATTCAAATCAACCATCAACATTAACAAGTCCTAGTACAACAACAGCATCAACTGAAATACCGGATAATTTTACATTTCTTATAAATTTATTTCGATCTGGTCTTCATTCAGATGTTACAATACGTTGTCGAGATCGACAATGGAATTTACATAAAAGTATACTTTCATCACGTTCTATTTATTTTAATCAATATTTTGCTACATCAAATGAATCTGAATTAAATTTATCTAACGATGATGAAACACCATCACCAAATATTCTTGAAAAAATATTTCTTTTTCTTTATACAAATCAATATACACCAATGAATTCATCAAATCAAAGTCCATCACCACTAACAGAAAAGAAACGTCGTCGATCATCAGCAGCAACAACAACAACCACAAACACAACAACAACAGCAACAATTAATACACCATTTGATACAACTCGTTTAATATTTCAAGGTGCTATTAAATATGGTATTGATGTTCTCTCTCTTCTTTGTTTACAAGATATGTGTAATGCACAAAATATAAATATTAATACAGCTTCTCTATTATTAGTTTGTCTTCATCAAGCTCTTACTGATATATATGCAAAACATCATTTACATGATTATATATTACAAGTAAAAAATCTTAAACAAATTATACTTCGTTTTATTCAATTACATTCACGAGAAGTTCTTTTATCTGCACAATGGAAACTTCTCGAAAAACGTTATCCATCTCTTGTTCATGATGTACTTGAGTTTGTTGTTTTTGAAAAAATAGATGAATAAAATATAAAGTTTGTTTTTTAAAGAAATAATAAAAAAAAAAGAAAACCATTTAAAATAGTGTATCATAAAAAACAACAAAAAACAAAAGTTTTTTTATTTTTTTTATTTAATATTTCAACTTTTAATGAATGTGTTATGTAATTAAAACTAAATTCATAAGGATTAATATTTCTAAATAATTTTCAAATAATAGCGTGTAGAATTCTTGATTGTTTCAACAAATTATTTTGCATTCTATGCTTGCATAACAAATGTACTGAATTAAGTGAACAACATATTTGCATTAAAATAACGAAAAAAAAAAAGAGAATTTTAAAATAATATTTACTCAACATTTTACTTGATCGATATGAATTAGAAAAAAAAAAAGTTTCATTTAAATCAACAGTTGTTTTTTCGCATTTATTCTTTTTAATATTTTATCAATCTTTGAGAAATGGTAGACGCTATGAATATATTTCTTTTCTTTACATTTATTTGTACTATGATACATGGTCGATGGATAACAGAAAAACATGTTGATGGTATTATTGATAGAGATGACGATTATTGGGTTGTTAAAAGTATGTTCTAATTTAGTAATCTATTCTATTTTTCTTTTTTCTTTTTTTTTTAGCAAATGCACGAGTTAATAGACCAAAATTTCCTGCATACATTCGTTTTTTTAATACACATACATCAAAATGTGAATATCAACTTGATTGTTCAACATCAGCTTTAATTCTTTATTATAATTCTCCACCTCAAATTGTATTTCGTACAACAGGTCATATATGGTCAGAAGGTGATTCTTATTTTGTTACATTAGATGAAGGTGTACTTTTTTCGAATGACATTGAAAATTCAACAGAATATTCACATCCAAAATTTTGGAAATTTCATGTCATACGTCCACTTAATCAAGAATAAACTATCCGATATTTTTCTTTTGTTTTTTTTTTCAAATATTTTTTTTTGTATCTTTTAAAGAAATAAATTCTTGAATATTTACAGGCGCGTTTCTTCACTTTACTATGACAGATAATGATAGTTTGATGATTATCAGTGATGATGAACAAGATATAAAGAAATTCGATGAAGATGAATCTCGTTTGTACATTGATGAGAATATATTTGATTCTATGAATAATTCTTCTCAACAATCAACAAAATCAACAAATACAGGCAATGCTTTTGAACTTGATTTAATCTTAATAGCTAATATTAATCGTTATCAAACACGATCATCTCAGACTATTCTAACATCAAATACAAGTCTTCTAATTAAACAAAATCGATCAACATTTTGTCAAGCAGAATATTTTTCTACAATAACACAAGAAACAAATACTGATCATATGAATGAAGAAGATGAAGAACGTATTTTAGTTATTAAGAAACAAAGGACAGAAAATATCGATTTATTATTGTCTCTATCAAGTTAAAAATTTATAAATTCTTATTTTGTACAATTCTTTTTTTTCAAGATATATATAATGATTGACAATAGTTTCATTTCTTTACAAATGATTGAATCATAACAAAAATTTTATTTTTATATATTTTATATTGTCTAAAATATTCATAGAAGTGATTGTGTTTTTTAAAATGCAAATCAGTTAAATATTTATCAAACTTTTCAGTAATATTATTTGTCGTATATATATCCTCTCTGACCAAAATAAATGACACGCCTTATTTTTTTTTCAATTGTTTCTCTTTACTGTCATCATTTGATTTCAACGATATGCAAGACTATCATGAGATCATCAGGATTGAGGGGACGACCGAAGAGTCTTTTAAGAATATGGTGAACAAAGATATGAATAAAACGCTGGATAAAAACGAAAATTTTTCAAGATTGGGATACTTCTTGCTTGGGATACCCCTGAATAAATCACTTATATGACAATAATTTACTTTCAAAAGTAGTTCTTTGTTTTTTTTTCGTTCGAATACTTGAACACTATTTGATATTCAAATATAAAAGTTCTCAACCAATCCTCAAATAAAAATAGTAAAGTATGTTATAAATTTTTTTTTCCAGTACCTCAAATATTGATTATTACCTAGCAAACATATTTAGTCCACTAGTCTTACACGTAAAACTGAATTGCTTAACATTAAATCTTTTTTTTTGTTGAGACTACGTATAATGGTTCTAGTATTTATCAAGCTTAATTCTTACAATATGTGAATCAGGGGCAAGTACAGCGCAGGACAGGATACTTCAGATAATGCATCCTTGTGGTAAAGCATTAGCTGCTTTCTCTTGGAATTTAATATCCTAAATATTCAAAATGGTATTTTATATTTGTTTTCTGTGACGAACGTGTCATTAAAATAATAAATCAAGATGTTTCTATGTTTTCTTGTATGCATAATAGTGGTCATTATTGGAAACTTTATTTGTTGTATTTGAAAATAATACGAAATAACTTAGCTATTAGCTATTGATTATTTTTGCATTATTCATATACTTTTAATTTCGAAAGTTTGAAATGTGTATATGTTTTCCCTAGTTTGTTCATTATTGTTCTCAATTCTCTGTATTAACAATCTCCCTTTTTTTAAGTTGTCTATTCGTTTAAATAATTAAAGTTTTAACTGTAGACAGACGTATTTACTTACTTGACTACGAATAAAACAATTAGATATCGATAAAAATGAACTTAGTTTGTGTATTTATGAATGTACATTTAATTCTATCAACAATGATTAGAAAAATAGACAAGAACTTCTTTTAGTATGAAAAAGTTCAGGATGTTGAAAATTGATTTCGTATTGACTTTAACCTATATAGATGTTTATAACATCTTATTCTGTACAAAATTCTAAAGATATGTAATCTTTAACAATAATTTGACTTCTTTAAATATGATTTTGATTCAAGAAAAATGTTTCTATTATCCGATCCAAATAAAAGGCAAGTTACCATTTTTCAAATAGCTTTTTATTAACATGAAAAATGTTTTTTTTTTAATAAGTACTTTTCGATCAATACTTTTTCTTTGAATATTTTCACAATAATCTCAACTGAAATTATGTCAAAATGTAGCTCAAATCACGCTTTTGTTTTTGCTATAAAATTACCGCATACTCCACTAGCTCTCAACATCTTATTCTAACCGGATTTTAAAAAGATAAATATTAATTTTATAGTGAAAAAAGGATGATTTGAGCTACATTTTAACATAATTTGAGTTGAGATTATTGTGAAAATATTCAAAGAAAAAGTGTTGATTCAAAGGTACTTACAAAAAAAAGAATCTTTCACCTTAATGAATTCTATATTGATCGATGATCCGGACATCACTCTTTCGAATGATAAAAATTGCAGGTCTCTATCTCGTTCCTATCAAAAGTTATTCAAAAAAATGATAATCCATCTTTTATTTCGGATTGGATAATAGAAACTGTCTATGATTTGCAAGAAGATAATTCATCAAATATGAGAGTCAACAACAAAGAAAATGAGCAGTCAGAATTAAGTTTGTAGTTTGCTCAATGTTCGTGGAACGAGTTTCTAGGATACTCATAATAGTTAAAAATATCCGCGTATCGCATGTTGGAATTCTTCAACATATTTCATAGGATTTTCCCAACATCATGTATTGAAATTTTCTCACCGTGTTATCTTAGATCGTATATGGAATTGTCCCAACCTGCTCTTATATATATATGTATATATTCGTGTTCGTTCTACTCTAGTCTAGTTAGATATTACATTCATTATCTTATTCTCTAATCGTTTTCTTTCTATCTCTCCTTCTTCTATTATCCTTCTGTTTGCCATCGTAACCAAGATATTACTAATAAACTGAAGTCACACATAATCACCAAAATTTACACTTAACAAGAATCTAATCTCTATTTACAATCGGCTATAATAACTCTTATATCAGTCTTTCTAATCTTTAGCATAATAGACATAAACCCATATATTTGTTAGTAATTTTATCATTGACATTAATCTGATTTGAGCTTGTTTTTGCGTCAAACAAAGTCATCGACATATGTACAAAACAACATCTATCATACATGTGATCAAGGTTATTATGTATTATTACCTTTTTCCATATTGATCAAAAAGCATCTTATCACTATATGTGACGAAATTATCATGGATATTGTTGTTTCCATTATTATTTACCATGATATTATATCCGAATTATAACCGATTACATCTAATGTATTTATGTTGAATCAATCTGAAAGGCTATTCTACCATTTTGTTGACATATTTTGAACTATTTCAATTGAACAGTCAGATGTTGGCTTATGTTAATTAATAAAAATCAGCAATTCAAAAATCTGAGAAGAAATTCCAAAGAATATTATTTCTTTTAGTCTATCTATTAAATTGTGTTTCTTTCGGTTTATTTATACTATTGCATCCGATAGAAATATTTTTCATTATATTTTATTGAATATTTCAGCAATATACTCATCGTGTTCTACGATTATTTTACATATAAGTTTCGCTGATGTTATCAATATGTTTTTCTTACTCTATAATATGTACTTTCTTTCGATCAGATTAATGATTATTTTTTTATCCGAATCACCGGAAAGAACGAAACTCACACAATATAAAAGTAATTACTCTTCAATTACACAGACAAATTCATTGTTTACATACCTATGCATGATTTAACTTTAGATAATACGAAACTGAATTTTGAAAAAAGAGAAATTACTTCTTCTGAATTAATTCTTGTCTATCAAGACTTCCGTTAGCATCGTATACGTGGCGCTATCTATTTTACAAATCCGTCAATAGGCTCGCATTTCGCCAAAAGAATAGATTTCTTCATTATTATTGATTGGTGAATATCATTTTGGCAAACATAATATTTACTTTTTTTATCAATATGAGATGATTTATATTCGATACACACAAAAAGCCATAAAGTGAAGAATCATTTATTAAAATAGTATTAAATAATAAAATGATAAAGAAACAATCATAACTTGTTTTTTCCCTTTTTATTTTTCTTTCAGATTATTTGACATCATGAAACAACAACAATAGTCACCTTATTCACTTCAAACTCTTTGTTTTTTTTTCATTCCACTTCTTCTCTTTCTCATACCAAGAAAAAGATACACTTATATTTTTCCTTTTTTTTTCTAAATAAATATTTTCGAGTACGTATATACATTTCATTAAAATAAAAGAATCTTGACATTTATATAATAGATAATGGATGGCGCTGGTGGTAATCCGAGTGGTGGTGGTGGTGGTGGTGGTGGTTTTGATCCATGTGAATGCATTGTAAGATAATTTTTCAAAATAAATACCTTTCTATTTTATATGAATTAGAATATACTTCAAATGAATCATGAACATGCTATGAATCGTTTGACTAATCTGCTTCGCAATGCACAAACAACATGTACTGATACTGAATGTTTTACTGGCCCATGTAAGGATTAAAAAAAAAAGAAATTCTATTGTATTTTTAGTCTGAAAATTTTTTAGTACCTGGTCAACCGAATACTGATGGTGGTAATACAGGAATATCTCATATGTATTTAATAATAGCTATATGGCTTGCTATTGCTTTTTTACTTTTCATATTTCGTCCACGTACACTTCGAAACAATCGTGAACATCCGAACAAACCAAATAACCAAGTAAATAAAAACTCCACTTGAGGTGTAAGTCAATGCATTGCTCAGCAGTAGCTGTTGAGCCAATTGGTGTACATTTCTAATTTCGAATCGAGTACTTTTTAAATCCATTCTTGTTTATTTTAGGATCCGCATCATGACAACCAAGATCCGCCGGGACCAGAAGTACATTAGACTAGACAATTCGAGATAAATAAATATATTTCAAAGGATTTTTTTTTTGCTGACAACCGACCCAGTAAAATATTATTTTCATTTGACAATTAATGAATTAAGTCCCAATTGTTTCTTTGGTTTTGTTCATTTTTTCATGACTATTATTATTATTATATTTTTATTTTTTATGTTTAAATTTTAACTTTCATTTTTATTTGTTTAACAACCTGTATCTTTGAGCAATTGATAAATGTTTTTCTGCGTACTAATGTACATATATATATATATATATAAACATTTATTAACCAAGCAATAAAATGGAAATTTAAAAAATAAAACAGAATAACATTTTATCTATTATTCATACATATATATATATATATATACATTTTTTTTTCTCATTTACATAATGATATTTTTTTCCTTCATAAATGAACAGTGAATTGTATATGTGAAGATTTATCAAATATCATTTCTCCTTTTTTTTTTTTGTTTCGACTAAATAAATCATCATCTATATTAATATTTATCTATGACGAATGAGAACAATCAATTCGTAGTTAAGAATTGACATCTTTATATGAGAAAGATACAGAATGGTGTTGTTGATTTTGCGTAATCACCAGATCCATTATCGAGCGTTCCAACAACGATGCAGCTGCTTTTATATATATATAGATGTATGGATTTCCTTATTTAGAAATATATATATACATGCTGTTTGCTGTCCTTGCTGATAGATTTTCTTCAGTGCAGATGTATAGAAGAATGAATAATGGGTAGATTTTTTTTTCTTTTCTTTTGCTTGATATCATCGTCGGGAAGAAGAACGTACAATCTTTTTTTGTCCATATCATTCTTTCCCATATGTACTATTTTGTTGTTTTCTCTTCGATATAACTAGAAGAAGCAGAAGAAATAAGACGCATACTTCCGCATTTTTTTATCCTCTTGCCAACATTTGTCCGATATTACAAGTTTTCTACGTCATTATCATAAGCAGAAAAAAAATAACGACAGCTAGTAACGAAGATTGCCAAGTGTTGTCACTTTTCCAGTGGCAAAATAGATACACAATTCGTTCGGTCTATTTATTCATCGATATACTTAGTACAATTTCAAATATAACTTCTCTCGGTCAAAACAAGATAATACTAGTTAATAACTTCTGCTATTGATAAGACTTTTGGTAGGTAGCTGATTTCAAAAAAAAAAAAAGAATTCAAAAAGAATTATAGTTTCTTATCATATCCATGACCTTGATTTGTTACAAAAAAGAGAAAGTATCGAATCGTTAGTGTCAGAATTGCTGAGATATCAATATATTCCATATGGATATCCTAAACACAATTTTCATTATTGCTTAAATAAATATCTTCCAGGATGAATTTCCATTTTTTTTATCGGATCATTCAAGATTCATAATTTGCCTAGATGTAGAACAAATTATCTGTGTCGTTCTTTCCTTTCTTACATGGCATGCAGAACATATAAAAAAACTGAGTGAGTTCCAATCAATAGAAAAGATGAAAAAAAATCAAAACAAATCGATTTCGCACGTGTTCGTTTCAAATCTCATCACGTACACAAAGTGCATGGCTGCATGTTTGAGTACATTGATTTAGATAAATAGAAATTCTTTTTTTTAAAATAGATTTCTTTTTGTTTTAGTTTGAATACCAACAATAATGAGCGGAAAAAATGGTCAGTAAGATAATTTAAACATAATTATTTATATGTCTGTTATTTTTTTGTTTTTGTTTCATTCAATTTAGTTCGAGGTATAAAGAGCATATATTTATCGTAAGTAGATATAGAATTGCGTATTTTAGGAGGTCGTGCTGGTGGTGCTGCTGCTGCTGGTGGTGCAAAGGCAGCTGGTGGCGCAAAAGCAGCTTTTGCTATGTTTCAACAAAAAGATATTGATGCTGGTGGAACAGGAAAAGCTAGCAGGTATTTAAAAATAAAACAAAAAGAAACTATCAACAAAACTTTATATTAATAATTAATATTTAGTGAACAAGGTACTGGTGCACCAACAAATCCAGCAAGTATAAAAGAGCGTCTTCTTGTATGGTGTCAACAAACTACTAAAGGTTATAAAGTATGTTTTCATCTAATATATATATATATATATATAGTCAATTATTTTTTAATTATATTTTGTAAAGCATGTCAATGTAACAAATTTTTCATCGTCATGGGCAGATGGTATGGCTTTTTGTGCTCTTATACATCATTATTTACCTAATGCAATTAATTATGATTCTCTTAATCCAAAAGATAGAAGAAAAAATTTTGAAATAGCTTTTAAAGCCGCTGAGTAAGTTTTATTTAAATAATAATAAAAATAAAAACCAATAAAGATTTTTTCTTTTATAGCGATAATGGATGTGCACCATTACTTGAAGTCAATGATATGATTGAAATGGGTGATAAACCTGATTGGAAATGTGTATTTACATATATTCAATCACTCTACAAACATTTTGTTATGATGCCTCAAGCAATGGCAGCTAGAGCGGCAGAACAAGCCGCTGGTCGCTAACCTATAAAAAGCTAAACTGATAAGAACACTTCAAAAGTTCTTTTTCGTTTTTTTTAAAATTTTGTATGATATTCAATCGTTTTTTTTTTCTAATCAGCTAGTCATCCTATTTAATTGCAAGTAAAATAAAAGACATCTTTAGACATAAGACCTATGCCATCTTTTTTCTTCGCTAAAACCAACGCTTGACCGCGCTTCCGCAATAAAAACTATCAGTTTGAGCGATTTACTCTTTTCTTTTTTGTTTTTTGTTTTTATTAAATTTTCTATTAAAAAAGAAAAGTCAATTTTAATATAGCACAGTATATTGTGTTATATGATCTTGCAATTTATTATTTCTGACTAAAGACTATTTTTGTGTTGCAAAAAGTAAGATAAGATGGTTTAACCCTACCCACTATTGTGAGAGGGATGTGACTTTTACTGAAATCTGACATTTTCCTGAAAGTAAAATAAATATTCATGCTGTGAGACAGAAAAAAAACTCAAGCAAAAATAGCTGAGTTTAACCTGAAGGTTCACTTCATAGTTGACCAAACCGTAATAATCGTTCGCAACATGAACGATTATTCTTTGTACATTACCATATATATGAATGAACATTGTAGTTTTTGCTTTTCTACAGAAATATTTTGTAAAATTTAAATAACAACATGAATAACATCATGAATGTCTTGATTTATTTTGACACTTGTTTCAATGATATAATTACCATTTGATTTTAATTTTTCAATTGACTCTTCAGTAAATTTGATTTGCAATGATAATAATTAGTACAGATGTTGATTGATTAGACAATAAATCAATTGAACTTTGAGTATGTTTGATTTTTTTCAAAACTTCTTTTACTACATATTGAAAATATAATTAAATAAGCTGTTAAAATTTTATTAAACGAAGGAACATTAACGAACATTAATACATATTCATGATCATCGATTGTAGTTTGATATATACAGCAGAACCATTGGAATTAATATGACAACGTGTATGACAAAGAAATTTATTATGGACATATCGAGCAATAAATGCTTTGTTTTTTGCTAACAGCTAAATCACCCATGATTAAAATTCTAGAAAATATTAAAAGAGAATATAGAGACATTTAGAATTACCGATATTTATTAATGTATGTACGCGTTGTTTTGACATAATGTGTGTGAAAAAGAAAACCTTGTTGCTGTTTTCCTTTTGTAACTATGCTGATAGAGTAATAAAATATAACAAACAACTTTTTTTTTTTCCTTTCGTTTTCATGTCATTTTTGCTTGAATATACCTGTCAAATAAACAAGTATTTACTGGAAAGTAGAAAGAAAAAAAGAAAAAAAACCTATTGAATACTAAATAAACATGCTGTGCGGTTGAACTGTACTTAACTATTGAATTACCATTGGTTTCAGTAACAAATCAATAGTACTTTAACATATCGAGTTTATCAAATGAACTTCATAATTTTTCTTTCAGATTATTTTAAGTGTGACAGTCAATAACAAATATAACAGGTGCGATATTTTAATAGAAGACATTAATATTTTGTAGATAGTTTAGTTCATGATTTTTGCTTAATTATTGAATTCGAAAAATAAGGCGTTAATATTTGCAATAAGTATTTTTTTTGTATGATTTCTACATTGATAGATTATAAAAATTTTTATTGTCTAAGTTCTCTTTTGTTGTTTTCATTAATACATCAATATCATAAATTTTGAATTTCAGTTTATTTGAAGTAGTTTTATTATCAAAAATAGCAGTCAAGAATTTATATGTTCCTTGGACACATAAAGGTATATATATTCGAAACGAACAACTTTACGTCAAATAAGTGTCCAAAAAAACGAAAAAAAGAAAAGAATTTGAATACGATCGAACGCTAGTGCTGTTAATGAGAAAAATCTTATCCTTTATACTTTCAATGGAATGTTAGCATCTCAGATAAGAAGTAATAGAACAATAAACGATCATATATATTTATTATAAATCTTATTCACAGCGTCTTATCAAATAGAAATCGTGTAATCACACTAGTAGCTTTAACTTACATTTAGAACATTTTTGACAGATTTAGCCTATTGTAATGAATTTATTTTAGATTATAATCAATGGAATTCCGTCGAGCATTATCACATATAAAGCAAAGTTATCATAATATTCCAACAATTCTTCCAAAGACAATGGATCCTGAATTTATTGTAGTACTTTTTTTGTATTGAAGCTAGTGCTTTAGTTTTTAATAGTATTCATGTAAAAGTTTCGAAAATTCACATTTATAATTTATATAACCAAAAACCAATTATTTGTAATGAATCACCACAAATTTATTTATGCTTTCTAACAATTAATCATTGTATTTATGAACATAAACAATTACGTTTTCTTAAAATTATACATTTAATATTTATTGTAATAATTGTTGTATGTTATTTTAGTTTATTTATTATTATACTTCGTAAATGGGAAAATGTTCAAGTATAAAATGATTTAGGTATAACATGGTATGGTGCAATACAATTATTAGTCTTATTAACATTTGCATTACATACACTTTTAATGGTTATTATTTATGCACGTGATTATATAAACATAAAACATTGTAATGAAGATAGTCGTTTAGTACGTGAAGAAAATCTTTTTACTTATGTTATTCTTAGTATGCTTGAAATAGCTTATATTGATTTTGATATATTAAATCGACAAGTATCTATACATGCTCTACATCAAAATTTTGAATATCGAGCACGACAAGCTGGACATATAGCATCATCGGAAGACTTGACTCTTATTACAAAACAAAATTCAGCACCAGCAGAAAGTTTTGAAACTGTTGAACAAGAATTTATAAGGGAGTTAATTTAATTGTTAAGTTTTTTAATTTTTTTTTTAATCTACAATATTAATTTTTTAAATAAATGGTTATCAATAAGGAAATCATCAATATGACAATAGAAAATAATAAGTCAATATTTGTATATTTTTTTTCTCGAACTTTAAATATAAAGACAAAAAGAAAATGATACTAATAGTACGATTTGTTATATATGAAAATGATTTCTAGAATAGCATAGGAGAAAACAATTCTAATATACGATATTCTAATAATATTAACTAGACTGTTGCAGCAAAAAAAAAAAAATAATTGAAAAAAAATCAAACTTGAATATTCCTACAAGGGAACCATCCAAGATGCCGCCTCACCTTTGAGATGAGACATCGTTCATTACGTGGAATCTGTTGAGACTAGAAGGATTGTCCACCTTGTGCTGTCCTTCCTGAGTTATAGCACGATAAGCAACTCAGTAAAACAGTCATAACTTTAAAAGAACAGCATATGAGAAGGAATCCTTCTAGTCACAACAGACTCTTTCTAATGAGCGATGTCTTAATAAGTCTTTTTAAAGTTTTCTTCAACATATTTCAGATGAGATTACTATTTGAAAAATATTAATCTACTGATATTGGCCCCAGAAGTCAGTGCACTCGGATGTTTTTTGAATAACTTTCGATAAGAACAAGTTAGAGACCTGCAATTTTCAGCAATCGATAGAAGATTATAGGGAACACATTTTTATATGAAAACCAAGGTTTTCATAATTAGGCATAATAGAAGTGATTGTTGAATGACTAAATTAATAGACTCGTTATTTGGTAAAATCTCAGCAGAACAAGCTGGAACTTTCAGTATATATAGTCCCACTGTAGTCCAATCTTTCCTAAAAATATCAACGATAAATCTTATAGTGGCGAGGAATGGTGTGCCAATCATCATCTGGCCTTATGTAAAGCTCTCATTCACTCAATATATTAGAAAATGATCTCAACTTTTGATTGAATAAATACCATAATCTAGACTTCATATCTATGCAATTATATCATAGTTTGATTATATGAACGAGAAAAGATGGTGGAAACATTACTAAGTTCTGCATTTCTCTTGATAAAGTTGGGAAGATCTATTTTAAAATACTTACTGTATGAAAATCATTTCTTCGTTGAATTTTGGCTGTTTCCGTACATTTTTACGACCAAACTACGGTGTTATTGCATAGATATGAAGTCTAGATTATGGTATTTATTTAGCTAAAAGTTGAGGTCATTTTCTAATATATTGAATGAATGAGAGCTTTACATAAGGTCAGATGATGATTGGCACACTATTCCTCGTCATTATAAGATTTATCGTTGATATTTTTAGGAAAGATTGGACTACAGTGGGACTATATATGCTGAAAGTTTCAGCTTGTTCTGCTGAGATTTTACCAAATAACGAGTCTATTATTTTAGTCATCCAACAATCACTTCTATTATGCCTAATTATTTAAACCTTGGTTTTTATTTAAAAATGTGTTCCCTATAATCTTCTATCGATTATTGAAAACCGCAGATCTCTAACTTGTTCTTATCGAAAGTTATTCAAAAAACATCCGAGTGCACTGACTTCTGGGGTCGATATTAGTTTAGATAAAAGAACTCATTGTTGATTGCTGAAAAGATAGTTTTATATACTTTTATAAAACTGATATTGCAATGATTGATAATCCTTTGAAAGATTTGGCCTTCATATTTCATCATATCTAATATGTAGTACCCTTCAACAAACGTAAATAATTCAGATTTGACTTTTACTAAAGTTATGATTAATGAATTATAACGAAACTATATCTGAATTCTTCGAATTGATATCTAACATAAAATAGAATTGAAAATTAATAGATTACTTTTAGAAATAGTCGATTTTATGAACATTCAATGAAGAAAATCGTTTCTACATACAATATTACAGTTAAACAGAATCTTCTGTCATCGATGACAAGTATTACTGAAATGCTTTCAATGGTTACAACTACGTCAAGAAATCTCAATACCAAATATATTTAATACTTGACTTGAGGAATGTATAAATTATAGTTAACATCTCAGAGACACATTTTGAAAAGTTTCTATTATTAATTGTTCAAAACTGAATTAAAACGAAATTTACTTGAAGATTCTTTTTCTGATAAACACATAGATAATATCTAGGATAATAACGAGATATGTTAATCAACGTTTTTTCTTATCATCAACAACACTTTGATATGTGGTGTTGTTCTAAAATAAGGATGATACATGAAAGGATACATGCAGAACACATTACTAGTATACTTTTTCTGAATCTTAGTATACGATAATTTATTCTCAACTACTTGAAGAAAAATAATTTTTTTGTAAAAAACAAAAAAAAATAATCTTTCTTTGTTGTTTTATTTATATTTATTCTTGATTAAGATAGCTAGTGTCTGCGTTCTCAGTCTTTTCATTCAATAGAAAAAATAACAATTGGAATTCAAAAAAACTTAGAAACTGTTATTAATTAATTTACTGCCTCAACAATTTCCATTGTTATATGGATTGATCCATTAATTTTTGAAACTGAAGTCATCTTGTATCTCAAACAAATACTATTACATCGAACGACACACAACAACCAAAATGCATTTAGAATGATTATAATCGCACACTTTTTCCGTTCATATTTTATTTCATCTCAATGATATTAGTGGACTAATGTTTTTCTTTCTCGTTTCTTAATTATTTTTTTCCTCTTACACGTTGAGTAACCACTTGATAGGCATTGTCGTTTACATATGAATAAACGGTCAAATCAGCAGTGAACTTCTTTTCCAACAAAAAAAAGAAAAAATTATCCTCTCCAATCTTATATAAAGTCATCGTTCTTAATGTTTTCAACCATTATTCTTTTCATTCATCAATGTAGTGAATTAATTCTATGTTTAGTTGAATTATTTTTTTCTCCTCCTAATGCGACAGTAATTCAACTATATCGTGAAATAAATAATTCAATTGATGAACATTCAATTCTTGTTTCTTTTTTTTCATACATGAATCATTTTTACATTTGAACAGAAAGACTTATTCATTATGTAAATCAAAGAACTTTCTTTTCCATCAGTCTGTTGGGCGACTTCATATCCGATACAGAGAAACTCTCCTGATTGAAACGCAAACTATACCGCAAAGGTCTTTTATTTACAATACATGTTCACCATTATCTCTTCAAAACAACAGAGTTTATCTAAACTCAGGTATGTGTATCTGTTCACATAATAATAAAAGAAAAATACTGTTTTCTCTTTCTAACTTTTATTTTGTTTGAATAGAACAAAAATCAATTACATTTTCTTTTTCACACTTTCTAGGTTATTTCTATATAATTGAATATCTGGATGATTTACAGGTAGGGAGTTTTCTATTATATTAGAAGTCCGTTCAAAAAATGAGAGTGCTTTCGAATAGTCATCTATATTGAAATACTTCAAATCAATGTTGTTGTAAGATTGAGCCACATGAGGATGATTTGAAGGAAGAATATTTTGGTAGATTTCCAGTCCTTTTTGATAATACGAAAGTACATTCAAATAGTCACTCATCATGAAATGCACCAAACCGATGTTATTATAAGAATGAGCCAAAGTGGAATCCGTTGGAAAGATAATCTTCTTAATGATTTCAATGGATTGTTCATAATCAGCAATGGTATCTTCATATTCACCTCGACTACACTTGACACTGCCAAGGATATAATAGATACCTACTATTTCCTGATCGTTTGTTGTACTGTCAATATCTTTGGGAAGAAAACGTTTTATAATAAATCATAGAAATGATTATTCTTTTTTTATGAGATGTCAGTTTTCGAAATTTCACACCGCATTTCGCATTGGAGTACCATCTAGTTTTTATCCAATCTATTTTTCAAAAAAATAATCAACTGACTGATTTAAAATCGATATTGTAGTGAATCGAGACAATTTTGAAATTTTTCAATGTACATCAGAAAGTTTCAACTATTCCTTTTATATGATCATTAAGTAGGTTTACGATTCCTTATTAAAACGTAACGATTTCACATTTCACAAATCATAACTTATTCAATTATGATTGCACTTTTATTTGATTTTCATGATGAACTTTAGCCAATAACCACTAGTATTCGTATTATTATTATATTAATAAGATGTATGACATTTTTTCTAATTGCTATAACCATAAATGACAAAATTGAGTTATTCCAAAAAAAAAAATATTAATCAAAGATGTTCAAGTTCAATATGAAGGATAACACATACTTATTATGCAGCGATAATGATTAATACTTTTGCTACTGATTTTTATAGCTTTTTTTTTTGTCTAACAATATTTTCTATTACTTTATTTCAAATTATCGGCATTAGATGTTCAACAGTCATTTTCTTTAATTTTTGCTTGTTATGCTTATATTTGATCTTATTCTTTGAATTTCTATTTTTATTATTTATCATCGAAATTATTTCAAAAAGTGTTTTATCAATTTATTTTCTTTTTTTGACAATCAACCATAATAACTAATTGAGATATGAATAGCATTATTTTATTTATCAACAAAAAGAGATAATTATGCAAATAATTGTACACGAAACAAACACTTTTAAAATTAACGGTTATGAAACATGCGTACAAAATGATTGTTTTTTTTCTCCTGATTGACTCAAAACAAAATAGTTTTTGTCAAAGTACAACTGTTATTATTAATATTTATCATGACGATAATTGACTTTTGTACAAAAACATGACAGAAAATATTGATGAAATAATACGAAGAACTTCGTTTTTCTTCTAAGAAAGAAATTATTGAATAAATTAGAAAAAAATTATCCAAATATATTATTTATGAATCTTTAATAGATATAACTGATGAATATTACTATATTCTATATGCAATTATATTCTAAAATAATTATTTCTTTGAAGACTAAATTTTTTTCAATTTTTACGTTGAAATGATTTAGAAAAAAGAATTTTTTTTTTTTGATTAATTA